TAATAAGTTTAGACCTCATCAAGTAATTGTTATTTAAAAAATTAATAATCGAACATTTTGACTAATATGCATAATCAAGATCTGTGTATAATAAATTAAAAGATTTCGCTTGTTATTTAAATAATAATAATTTTATTAAAGCCACAGAAAAAACCTGCGGTCTCGGTATACTCATTTTGAAGCGCAGCAAAAATGAGTCAAGTTGGTGGCGCCACTTTTTATGTCGTTTAGCATTGACTCATTTTGAGTTGCAACAAAAATGAGACTATGTTTTTTCTGTGTGGTGACCGTGACATAACCTCAAATTAGAAATTGATTTTTAACTATATGTTTTTAAAGCAACATAATAAAAATTAATTTCAAATAATTTTTGAAGATATTTGTTATATGTTTATCTAATGTTTTATTATATTTTAGTTTTTCGCGTTAAAAACATAGTTAAAAATCAATTTCTAATTTGAGGTTATGTTACGGTCACCGCACACAGAAAAAACATGGTCTCATTTTCGCTATACAGTTCAAAATGATTTAATGCTGAACAACACAGAAAGTGGCGCCACCAACCTGACTCACTTTTGTTGCACTTTAAAATGAATAGTGTATATGCTACTCATTTTGAGACAATGTTTTTTCTGTGGCTTTAATAAAATTATTATTATTTAAATAACAATCGAAATCTTTTAATTTATTTATATGTTTGTGACTTCTGGAGTGAAAATACACGGATTTCTATTAATTGTGAGGATTTATTGTTTTTAGAGATTGCTATTATTATTATTATTATTAGAAGTAGAGGTACTCGTCGCCCGCCGGCGCGTTAGATAATTTTTACTTCTCATATACACGGAAAGAAAGTTTGTAGCAATATTTGATATTATGGTGTTACTTTTTAGTATATTTGGTTACAATTGCGGAACATTTTGGCATGATAACGATTTTCGATACTATTTTTAAGAATGATTGAGATTAAAATAAGAATATTTAATATAGTTGGAAAGAAAATTTGATATAATATTTACGAAATCTGAAATCTTTTTATTGAAACACAAAAATGTCAAATTTTAATAAGCTCTTTATCAATTTTTCTAACCAAATATTTCAAATTTCGTAATTAGAATTCTATAAAATGATATAATTATTTCAGATTTTGATATATTTGATATGAAAATTGAAAAAGAAATATCAAAGTTAACGAGATTCGACGAAATTTGCCGAAGTTGAACGTTCGGAATTGCCCGATCCTCACCGAGTGGTAACGAAGACTGACGAAGCTCTTTAGACAAGCCCCTTTTTACCATTATCTTGATACAGACCTGAATTTCTTTTATATAATTAATTTCGAATATTTTACAATAAATCAGTAAAAAAAATTGTTCTTCAAAAAATAATAAAATATTTAATTATTTCCCAATAAATAATGATTTTTATTTATATTTTTAAACATGTTTTGATATAATTTCACCTTTCTCATAAGCGGTGAAAAATGTGTCTGGTTAGTATATAAGAATGGTCACATCAGTTTTTCACATGAGCGTAAATTTGTATATGAAGCGTTATTTTGCGAATGTTATACGTATTATCGTTAGTATAGGTTAGGAATAAAAATAAGCCAATCGATGTAAAACAATGAGGTGTATGTGTGTGTGCATTTATAAGTTCATATCCTCGTCTATCCTCGAGATGAGAAAGAGATAAAACTTTGGCGTAGAATCTGTTGGTGTTTCTGTTGTCATATGTCACGACTGAACCACTTCGAATTTTTAGTATAGTTTTAACAAATTTCGAAATAATCTTTCCAAATTTTCATATAAATTTAGTAAATAACGAAGTGCGCGTCGGTTTAACTTACTTCTGGTTTTTCGTATAAATTTATCAATTTACGAAATAATAATTTCAATTTCTGGAATATATTTACTAAAAAGACTATTGGTAAAAATATACCGATTTTCGTTATCAAACCCAAATGTTCCGCGTTTGAAAAAGAGAATACTAAAATTTCCTATCAGATTTATCAAATATTGCTACTAAATTTCTTTCCGTGTATGTATATATTATATTCTATATCAATCCAATTTCGACTTTCTGTGGTATGTGCGCATTTGTCGGACATTTTATCACGACTAATAGATTTCTAGAGGAATCGCTTCCGTTTTTGTATAACAAATTGTTAGCTCGTTTAAACTTTCCGGTTAAGAAGTTTGTATCCGCAAATTAAATCTCAGTGTCTATAATAAATATCGTGTTATCAGAAATAATCGAGTTATCGCGCGATAAAAGCGACGAACTCTCAGTTCAGCTGATCTCTGTTTAGTTCGTATGCGTAATGTTCTCGTGCATATATAGAAAATTCCTTTTCTTAAATAATTATAAAAGATATATATTTTATACAATAGAAAATTAAAAATATGAATCTTTAACAAATTCCATAATAACAATTCGATTGATAGAACCAAAAATTGAAAACCAAAATTTTGTTATCTTTCTATGTTCTTTTTATTTAATTATTTATTTTTAAACGGACTTTTAATGCTCCTTGGTAGAAAAGTACCTAACTACAACAAATCTTTCAAAAAATAGACTTTACAATACGCATAAATTGTATAGAAAGTGTGATATTCATTCATTTTTCGAAGGATATATTCATTAGTATAAATCAGCATACTGAGAAAAATTTTCTAAGAAAATTGTATATACACTATACACACACATATATATATATATATATATATATATATATATTTTAATAGTTTTGTTTAGTTTCGGTTTTTTTGATCGTCGCGCTTCTATATGTATAGGCATATATATAAGTCGAATTATATAAAAGATTAGCGTGACGAAATAGGCCTACCTGATGGTCGATTTTTTGAAAAAGATTCGGAAAACATGCGTATTATAATATATAAGCTTTAAATGAATGTGAACGGAACGAATCTTGTTTTTCCAACATAACATTTTTCACGCTGAAATAGAAAGGGAAACTTTTAAATGAGATCCTTTTTAGTGGAAAAAAGGAGCTGGCAGAAAATCAAACTCGATATTTCATTCAAAAGTAGGACTTATTATATACCTTTCCATATTATTAAATTAGACGGTATATAATTCTTCAAGACAAAATAACATCGATTAATAAAAGTATTTAATGATTTTTAAAAAGATTTACACTTTTACGGTTAGTTTTTTTGTAATAGGATTTAAAATTTTTAAAAATCACTAATTAAAATAAATTAGTTTTAATATTAATTATCCCAAAGGACCCTAAAACCACTTAAAATTCAGGCGCTAGTCGCTATGTAGCAGGGTTAAAAACTTACTCTCTAAATCTGAATAAGTGAAATTTTACTTAGAATTTTCGAGGGGCTATTCACTGAGATCCAAGAGATCCAGTGACAATTAGATGACAAGAAATCAAAAGAGACGGCCAGAGATCCCAAAAGACGACCAGTGATCACAAGAGACGACGAAAAATCGCAACTAACGTCAAGTCAAATCGCAAAATCCTCCCAGATGAAACAAACGAATGCATTCATTGATTTTTTAAATAAATGTTCGAATTTTATTTATTAAAATATAAAGAATTTAATGTTAATTAAATTTAATTTAAATAACCAACTAGCAATTAACTTTGTTTTCCCTAAAAAATTTTAATAATATAAATATTTAACTGTTTTAAAAATTAATATAATTGTGTTTATACTTATAAGTATAAATAATAAAATATTTAACTCTTACACAAATGTAAACAATAAACAACATTTATAAATTATACGTCTTGAAGGAAGTTGAGAAGCCAATAGTCGAATTAACAAAACAATACGATCAATGCAAGATCCAAGAGACGGCCTAGGACGACCAAAGATGACAATTGACAAAAAAAAGGAGTACGTCGTCTCTGGATCTTTTGGATCTCAGTGAATAGCCTCTCGAGAATTTTTCAAAAGTCTTCCACGTAAAAAAATAAGTGTATATGGACATAAGTGAAACTTCACTTATTTTTGAGTGAAAATCACTTATTTTTAAGTGCATATACACTTATTTTTCTACGTGGAAGACTTTTGAAACATTCTAAGTGGAATTTCACTACTTCAGAACTTAAACTGCAAGATCGTAATTCCAAAGAGAATATAAACCTAACCCCATACTGGACAAGATCTTTGACATAGAATTCATGTCATTTTCCTAAAAGAAACTACGTAGCAAATTTTGATTATTCGAATAAATTTCACTTAAATCCACAATTTTCAACTTCATAATTTCCGCGTCAAAAAGTATTCATAATATAATTTCTATCTTTGAATTTTACCAGCGAAACAATTGTACTAACCTAAATCTGTGAAACTGATACAATTTTTTTGAGTCACGCAGTAACTAAAAAATTTTTTTAAGTGAATGTAACTTCAAATCACAACGTAGCGAAATTTTCGTAGCGCTGTTGCTATTCGTACTCCTACTCCTGGACTCTAAAAATATAGCCTACTATTTTTTTAAAAATAAAATAATTTTAAATATTTCTTTATCTTGTTAAATGGATATAGAAGAATCGAGAGGAAAAATATAAAGATAACTAAATACAAAAAAATTCTTTCGATGAAAGAAATAAATGAAAAAAAATATGAATAATAAACGAGAAAAAATTTTTAAAAAGATAATATAATTGAAATAAAGAGGAAATAATATATAAAAATATACAAAATAAGGAAAAGAAAGTATTAACACACGAACAGTATAAAAAATTGAAAATTGGAAAAAGGTAACTGAAGAAAAAAATATTTCTTCCTTACCATAAGATGGAATTACTTACTGATTCTTACCAGTCTTTAGCTCACTGTCCTAAACCATAGATATTATACCGACCGCTGTTAATAGAATGAACTCTGCCTTATCGATAAACAGTAACTTCTACTTTACCGATATAAATCTAAAGTGCCAATAATAGATAAATGCTATCTCACATGATATATATAATCATCAGAAATATGGATCATCAGAAATAAATAAACAAATTATTTTTTTTAAATTATTCGCTTTATTGAGTTATTAGAAAATGTCCTATACATTAAGTACTGATCAATTGAAGATACGACAGAGTCGGTGGCACCACCAAAACTAATTCTAAAAGAAAAGATATTTTATCTCTGTCGATATCCACAATTCCTAATAATTCGTATTCAGTCGTTTATAACATTTCGCCACAAATGAGATATAATTGTTAATTGATTAATTATACCAAAGAAAAATGCACATTTTTATTTAGTAAATATCGTAAATCGAAAAATTATAAGTAACGCCTTATATTCATTAACATTATTTACGAAGTAAATTTGAAATTACAAAAAAAAAAAAATTCAAAATTACAATTCGTAGAGAAAAATATAATTTTCGGAAATAGAGTCGACAACACCAAATTTTTTTTTAAAAAAAAAACCTGTTTCTATAGAAAAATGATATTCTTTTTTTTATTTTTTTTTATAAACTTTAATAGTCAAAAAATAATTAAAAATAAAACAAAAATTTTAAAAGCATTAGTTACCTCTTGATTCAGAAAAAAAACTTTCCAGTTGCAGCACTAGAAAAATACTTTTTGAAAAAAATTCAGATTTAAATTTCAATTAAAAGGAAAGTATTAATATAAAATAATTTTAAATTAGGAAACTACTATTTTAGCAAAATAAAAATAATTTTGGCATTTAGATATTTTTTTCCTACTCGTAAAACAGTTGTGAAAAATTTTCCAATAAGGTATATTCTTATTAAATAGAATGTTTATTAAAAAACCATTATTTTTTTGTCAATTGCATATTACACCGATATGTCAAGAAAAAATCACGTTAGTCTGCAAATTAGATTATAATTTAATTCACACAAGTCGTTTATTGCTAAATTTAATTATGTAACTTAAATATATAAATATATATATATTTTTTTTAATATATATATATTTTTTTTTGTCTTAATCATTATACAAAGGCTAATACACTGTATGTACAAGTTATTTATTAAACAGAGGGATACTGATACGGTGTAACCCGAAGAATATTAAATTATTGTGTATATAGTTATACAAAATATTTATGTCCCCCGGAACAATCAGGAAGGGAAATTAATATTTCACTATATGTTAAAAAATACATAGTTAAATGAGAAAATCGTATTCTAATGGCAAAGAAAAACATTCCATCTACGTTATATTATATAATATAGTTGTGAGGCTTTGTTACACTTGCACCACAAACAATATATTAATTAATCTTCACTGGTCGTTCGAGGTGTATATTATGAGATTTTTTTTAATTAAGGCGCATTCTTTCGTTGCATATATACTTCTTAAGTCTATAGTTTAATTTTATTGTCTTTCTAAATGCGGTATTTATAGTAAAAATTGCTCCTTTTTTCAAAAGTGAATTTTTTTCCCATTTAATTTTTTTTTTATTTAGTTACAAGTGTTGGAATTTTAATACACTTTTTAAGTGTATTCAATTTAATTCTTTAATTATTTTAATGTAATTCGAAAAATAATTTTTTTGGTTCAATTTTTAAATTAATAAATATTTGGATTTATCTTTTAAATTAAATCAATTTTCATTTGAGAAAAAAAATTTATTTAATTTAAATAATTCATTACTTGACTATTATGAAATAAATTTTTATTTGATAATAGTCATATAATCAATTATTTGAATCAAATAAAATTTTTTCTAGTCTAACAAACATTTTTTTAAGGCTATAATTTTTACAATAAATACTTTTTTAAATAGAATTAACATGAAAAATGTAATTAATTTTTTTTCTTTCATACTTTTTTAAAAACTTATTAATTTAGTAACATTTTTCGTATCAACAAAATTTCTTGTAAATTTTTTATCCACATGAATGAAAAATTGATGGAACATAAAAAAAAGTATTTCAAATTTAAAGAACAACAATGAATATCCCAATGATGTTGTACAACCGCATTTAAAATACACTTTTTTAGATATTCAGTTCCTACTAAAACTAATGTTCATGTCACTTGAACAACGCAGAAATATTTGGAGCGTGACCAAGGTGCACACGAGATATGCACCACTACAATTGTTTCTGAACATGCAGAATAGTATTTTATCCTAATAAACAAAAAAACAAAAAAAAAATTGTCTCCTTATAAATAGAATCTCACAAGATGATGAGAAATCCCGTTAAATAGTAAATTATTTCAAATTGAGAGATACATATATACAGTCTAGCTGCAAAACGACAAAAAATAAAGCATTCGCGACAAAAGTAAAAGGACAGTATATAAAATTTCCCAAAAGATTACATATATAATTATTATACTCAAAATGTTCACGTGAAATAAATGAGCTATTTTATAAATATTATAAAATATTCTTCCCAAACAAATGCGGATAATTTTGCAAAACATACAATTCACAAATTAGCAAAATTTATAAAAATTACTTTATCAATTAATTAGGTAAAATTAATTTCTTAAATTTAAAATAAAATGTAATTATTTAATTAATAATTTTGCAAACTAATTAATTAAATTTTTAAATCAACTCAGTAGAAAAAAAATGTCAAATAATTTATTTAATTAATTGATTAACTTACAATTTAATTAATTAATAAAATTAAATTCTACTAAATTAAGTTAATTTCTAAATTTTTAACTATATTAATTAAATATTACCGATTTGTTTTTTTTTAATTTCAGTTTCTTTTTTTAAGTTTTGCAACGCAACTGTATAATTATTGCACTAACTTTCTCGTTTTACTTGCAATTTAATGGATCTACATACTTGATACCACTAAAACGAGTTTGTCATTAAACTCAAATAAGCATTCTTACAAAAAAAAAAAAAAAAAAAAAAATTAGAATAAATATTGATAAGCAAAGTTGAAACTAAATTCATTTGAAAGAGAAGTTTGATATGTGTATATATGTATATGTTCTCGAGAAAATATCTTTATAGAAGAGATCCTCGAATTATTCAGTCCGGAGAGTCGATTTTTCGTCGATGCCTCACCGATTTTCTGCTTTATCATATAAGATTATCGAGATCCAAGAGTCTTTAAAGTATATTTTCTTCTTTTAAATGAAGAGAAAGTTCTGACTCGTGTTTCTTCGACTTCGATAAACAATATATAATGAATGCGCGATAAAAAAAACGGCGAGAAGAGAATGGCAGAATTAATACCACTATATCGCTAAAGTGTTTTTTTTTCTTTTTTTTTTTTTTAATTGATTCTACCCTTATGTGTCATGTAACTTAAACTTTCAGTGAGAAATTTGTCACGTGCGACACGTCGCATTCGCGAACACATGGCCATTAGAGTTCCTGCCATTATGCAGAGCAAACCGCATCCAAGACCCACCACTGTGCTGATTACACTCGGCCTCAAGCAGACTCTATCACCTGTTGAATTACAAATCAATTAAATTACTACATTCAATTAAATTAACGTAATTTATAAAGTTCATGAAATAAAAAATTAATTAAAATATAAATTTAAAATTTAGTTCAAAATTGCGAAAAAATATATATTTTTTTTAGTTTTTGAATAATTTAAATATTTAAGTAAATAAATAAATTAAAAAATAAATTTAAAAAAATGAACGAAATATAAATGCATAATATATTTTTCAAAAATGAAAAAAATAATTCAAAATAGATAATTAATTATCATACCAGAACGAACGTTGGACGTCGTATTTTGAAAAAATTCAGTATCAACTTCTCCCTCTTGTAAAACACGAAGAGACTGGAAGAGATTCACATTTTCTGATAAGCTGGTTGCTGGTGTCGATGGACCACCGATCAGATCTGTCAACGATCTTTTGGCAACGTTCTTAGAGTTTCTCCAATGACACGGTTGGCTCTAAAAAAAAAAATATCAATTAAATAATTATAATAATTCCCTGATAATTAGTTAATATTAATTTCTCGCAAAAAATAAGATTTTATTTAGCGCAAATAAAATTTATTTGAAAGAAAAAAAAATTTTTAAGTATGAGAATTTAAAAATAAATAGCATTTATAAAATTTGTTAATTTTAAAAATTTGTTTATTTATTACATGCAATTCATTTATTCATGTATTTACTTCAGAAAATAAAAAAAAATTGATAAAAGAGCAAGTGTACTTTAATCACTCAATGGTATAATAATATGAAAGTGAAAAATAGAACATTTCCGCTTTCGCCCATTAAATTTTAGGGATTAGGGTCTGTCACATTAAGGTGTCTCATTTACCTTAACTTCCGTATAAACTTCCGTCCGGTAATCGGAAATGATTTTATTGAGAAAAACGAAATTATATATCAAAATAGGGAATCTAACCCTGACCCTAATTAGGACCCTCTTTAAATAGGATGATACTTTTAAAATGATATTATCATAATTTACACGTCAATCTATATATATATATATATGGAATGTAGAGATCCCCATTTGGGTTTTCTATATACATATAATTTTCGTCTCTAAAATATACTACAAAGTGAGAAAACATAATATAAATTTTTCGTAGCAATGAACTTAAGTGGATGAAGGAAATGTGTAGAAAAAAAGCAAGTGTCTCCAACAGTTGTTGCTCTTCCAAACGAATATATATATCGTTACGCAGAGGGAACTCTCGTCGAAGCATAAACTGAACTCACCGGACATCGTCCGTGGCACATCCGCACATCACACTCGATGTAAAGGGCCGGAGAACCCGTGAACCTGAAGGTTTTCATATAGGCATAAACTTGTGTCTCAAAAAGTCCACTTTCCGACCAGGAACCACGAAACCTGCTTATCAGCTTGTCATCAACTGGGCATCCATATTGATCGATCAATTGAATTTTCTTGTTTCCACCGTTGTGCGCGAAACAATCATTGACAACAATGTCAAAACCATCTGCTGGCAAATGAAAAAAAATGCAAAAATTGAATTAAATATTTCTAATTATTACAATGGTGGAATTAAAATATTTTTAATATTAAATAAATTTTAATTGATTTAGAAAATAAATATACACGGAGAAAAAAGAATTGCTGCATCGAATAAATGGATTTTATTAAAGAATCAATTTTCTTTAAACGTTACAAATTTTGAAAACATTTTTCTCTATGATCTTTTAGCAACGTTTTTAGAGTTAAAAACAATTATAGAAATGTTAATTTTTATACGATTTATAATTTAATTCTTCAATTTTTAATATATAATCACATGTAAAATTTCAACTTAAATAACTCAATTTTTAGTATTGGAAGAGTTTCTCATATTTCTACAACAGTTCATTAGATACACCAAGAGAAAATATATATATTTGCTTCAAAGCCAAATAAATTTTTATTTGTTGCATATTTTATTTGTGCTAGATTAAATTTGTTATTTAAAATAAATAAAAAGCTATTTTATGCTTTGAAACAAATGTATTTTTATTTGATTCAAATAAATTTTATTTATCTCAAATAAAGGGCAAATAAAAGATTTCTCTGGGCATACACAAAAGAAGTATTTCGTAAAATTTAAATAAAAATTTTTTTAAATAAATACGGCCTCAAACCTTGAACCTTAGATCACCCCCAACAAGGTTTGAGGCTGTATTTATTTTAAAAAATTTTAATTTAACTGAAATAACTACTGTTTCAATTTACCCCAACTGACCCTAAACGTCTTTAATATAGAATAAATCTGATTATTGTTGTTGCAATCAATTTTTTGTTCTCTCAACAGTGTTAAAGTAATAAAAAATTTGTTGCATCCAATTTTATTAATTCTACATTACAAATCTTGAAATAAATTATTTGAAAAAAATTTAAAAACCTTGAAATATTTTTAATAATCTTGAATCGTTCTTTAATTTTGTTTATCAACCTTTTTATTTTTCTTTATTTTGTTTCAAGTTAATAAAACAACTTAAAATATTTTAAAGAATCTTAAAAGAATAAAACATTACTTAAAATATTTTTAAGTAGGGGAGAGTCAGTACGGTTTAAAGCCCTTTCACATTAGCGCCATCTACCTTTGCATGCAAATACTTACTAGCGATGGTAATAAACTTTTCACGTCATGGCGCACTCACACCTTTTTTGGCTGCCTGCCTGCCTGCAGGTTACCATGGCAACGCACGAGTGTAAGTGAGACAGAAAATTTGAATATTCAAATTTTTAAATTTTCTGTCGCACTCACTCTTATGCGTTGCCATGGTAACCTGCAGGCAGCCAAAAAGGTGTGAGAGCGCCTTCACTTTTAGCAAGTTTCAGTGAAAATGCGCAATTTGTACAGACGTGTTTTGTAAAAGTGCGCTAAAGATTAAAAGGAAAACTTGTTTGTGGCGTCCGTAAATGTGAATTGAACAAAAGAAGAAAATGCAAACAATAAAGTAAGTTGACTAAGTTTGTTCGTTAGAGTGTTCTTTGAAAATGTGGTGCCTTATTTGATGTTTGTATTATGCGTTTTTTGTCTGTGTAATAAAAAAGTAAAACGTCGTGATAGTTATGGTTGGGCCAATAAATGTAGTGTTGGTTGGGCCATTTAAAATTTTGCAATTATGATACGTCTTGACATCATAAGTTCATTTTTCGACATAGCGATGTGTCAAAAACGTCACACGGAGAAAAAAGATTTCTTTTATAAAGTAACTTTTACTACTTTCAGAGTAAAACTGGACCAACTCGAAGTTTCTGCGCATCTCTGGCAATTTTTACTCCAAAAATAGTAAAATTTACTCTAGAAATAGTAAAACTTACTACGGAAACAGTAAAATTTACTACAGAAATAATAGATTTTACTATTTTTGGAGTAAAAATTGCCAGAGATGCGCAGAAACTTCGAGTTGGTCCAGTTTTACTCTGAAAGTAGTAAAAATTACTTTTTCTTTTTCTCCGTGCATTTACACGGAGAGAAATCTGTTACGAATATCTCACAAGACTTACGCGTGTGCTTTTCTCATGAGCTTCATTTGCTAATATCGCAAAGACTTGTGCTAATTTTTAAATCAGCATGGATTTCTTGCAATTTACGCAAGGTTGTGTCTGTGCTATTTTCGAACGGACTGCTCATGCGTTATTGGTAACAGATTTCTCTCCGTGAACCAGAGGGAAAAAAAGATTTACGTTTTAGAAACGTTCCTGAAACGATTCTGAAAAAGTTTTGGAGGCGTTCATTAATTTAAATGAGATTTTGTTTTTAAATTTGTACTCCCTCCCCTTTTGTGAGATTTTTTCGGACCTCTCTTAAGACGCTCTTAATAAATTCTTTTGACATACATGAAACGTTTTAGAAATGTTTCCTTTGTCATTTTTCTTGAATTTTCAGACCAACTTCGAAAAGAAAGAGAAAAACCAACAGCGGGGATTTTGATTTTTGTCTAATCAGTCATGAAGAAAAATAAAAATATAATGTTATTTAAAAATTGACACAGAGCTTTTTATCTCAATTTCAGATTTCCTTTCCTTATTTTCAAGTGAATTTTAAAATTTTTCTAAGTTTTACACACAGAAAAAACACTGCATAAACTTTATTGCGCGAAAAATACTATTTTAACAAATGCTAGTTCACATAGACTGTGACGCTCTCAATTAGAGTAAAATTTTGTTGCAGGCAAATATTATACAGATTTAGGGATGAAAATAATACTATGTTTCTTCTGTGGCGGGACATTTTTAATCATTTTCCTTCATATAACATTGATTTTGTATGGTGGCCCAACCGTGAAGCCCTAGTTCGAACGTAACGAAAAAATTTATTTCTTTGAAATGCCTATAACTTTTACACTTATGGTCCAATCATTTTCTGTTGTGTAGACAAAATGTTGCACTTGAAAAGATCTTTCCAACCATACATGAGGAAATCCGAAATGCGATTTAGAACAGAAGTTATGGCCACATGTCAAAACGTGGCCCAACCGTACTGACTCTCCCCTATCTTTAATTTTAAATTAATTTAATATTTTTAAGTATCCTCAAATATTTTATTCGAATAAATTCAAAAATTTTGAAAGGTTTCTAAAAAAAACTTAAAAATGTAAACATTTTCAAATTTTTTTTTTATTTTCTATTTTTTTTATATATGAATATATTTTATTTGAATACATTAACTCAGTAATAATTTTAAATATTTTAATTGTATCTTAAAATACTCAAATTTAATAAAAAAAATTTAAGTTTTTAAAAAATTTTTAAATCGCCTCAAGTATTTTATTTAAAATACCTTCAACAATATTTTTGAAAGGTTTTTCTGATATACAAAGAAAAAAACTTCATCTGAACTGCGAAAAGTTTCACTTTAGAATAGTAGAAGATTTAACTAATAGAATTAAATAAATTTTTTTCTTCGTGTATTAAATTAAAAATAAATCTTAAATTTTTTTTTTTGAACTATTCGTGAAATTTTATTTTCTCTTCAAATATTTTAAATTATATCATTGTAAAATAAGAAACGAAATATAATAATTGATGGAAAATTTTTAAAAATTCACAATTCATCGATTATTATAATATATATATATAGAAATCGACAAAATTTTAAATTAAAACAAAATTTTTGAAAAAAGCAAGTTTACAATTCTTAAATATTATTAAAAGTACAGCAATATCCTCGTAAATCCGTAATAACACCGTAAGTGTCAGAAATAAGAATAAAAGAGAATCGTAGAGGGGCACTTAAATTGCCGATGGTTTTCTTTTTTAAAATACATTCTTTCAACTGAAAAAGTCGAACAAGAAGCATCAAGTGAACGTTGGAATGTCCATAAGATGCTCTTCGAGGAAACTTTGAGTTCTGCTGCATAGGCATAAAGACACAATAGAATAAGAAATTAGATTTTTTTTCCTCAAAAATCATCAATATATAGAATTTTAGTTATTCTTCTATAAATATTTTTAAAAAAATGTAATATTTTTTCTTATTCAAAAAGTAAAATGAGAAGTAGAAAAGAATTTTCCCTAAAATTGTCATGCAAAAAAAAATTTGTTTTTTAATATTTTTTTTTATAATAAAACATAGGTATAGAAAATCTATAAACATACCGTATTTGCTGCGCATGTAGATGATGAGAGTCAATGGATCTCCAACTCTAACTGGTCCAGCGACTCGCGTTCCTGTTACTCCATATCCATATCTAATTTCCATGTAGCATTCAGGCGGCTGAAGAGTGAAGACTACAGGATTTCCCGTGGCAACCCTATATTGATAAAAAGAAGATCATTATGTTTTCTTACATATAAAATGATTATCTTGTCTGACAATTTAGTTAAATTCAGTTAAAGCAATATATATGCGCTATAAGGAAGAGATTTGCCCCGAGACCAATTAGGCAATATAAATCATAAAATAATGATCAAGTTCCTCGAGCATTTTTTGGCGCTATATAACACAAGAAGTGAGAGATAAGGGCAAAGATGAGCGTCAACTCGATATGTTTATGAATATGAAAAACACGTTTAGAAGAATCGTGAATCATGTAAAATTGCCTCATTAGTCGCCTGCACCTCATAAATTCAAAACTATTTCAGTATTTGGCCTATGATGAGAATAATGAGTGTAATGATTTCCCCTTTTGCGCTACTGGTCATGAAATCATTTAGCTCCCGATGCTCATCATATAGTATGCACGCGAGTCTATAATCACAGGCTATGCACATTCGTCGAACTTCGTTATGCACGAAAGTCCATCGTAAGTGATGCTTATACGACGACCTACCATACCACTACTATCATATATAGCTTTTGCTTTCAAAGTGGTGGTGATGTGTAATAACAGGCCCTTAACGATTTACTAAATGCCCACCCAGCTTTCATCTTCCAATTAAATCAAATTCCAAGAACATTACTGACACTAAAATCCATTCCCTATGTTGTATTTATTTCTGATGATGGATTTTTCATTTTGATGAGGTTCAGATGTTCCTGGGAGACTATTATTATTGTTAAGCAAAATGAGGAAAATTCTCTTCTAACAATCGTGAGTGGTAAAAATTTTGCTCATACAACACTAAATAATATCATTTTTTCTTGATCCGGAAATTTTAAACTATTTAAGCGGATATTTGTTTTTCTTTTTATTTTTCAAAGTTAAACAATATGTAAAAAATGTTTTGTGTAAGAATTTGAGCAAATTTGATCTATAAGAAAAAAAGCGTGTAAAACAAAAGACAATAAAATTTATCTTACTCGACATCGAGAAATGGAAACGTGACAGTTTTCCAGAAGTCGTAACCATACTCGCAGGTGACCTTGAAGTGTTCATCGAACTCCTCTTCAATGAGTGGATTGTATTGTACAGTTACGGTATTCCACATCAAATTTTTCTAAAAAAAAAAAAGAAAGAAAGAAAAAAATTGTATTATTAATTAAAGTCACGAACGAATTTAACAACCTCATCGTCTATATAGATATACTGTATAGTGTTAATCCTACTGACTTAATATCGCAAAGTAGTCATTACAACTTCACCTACCGTGGGATTTTTCCTACTGTCCTGATGATGAGTATTCTCACCGAGAGTGCCGCATCGATTTAGTTGAATGTAAAATTCGTAATAATCACGACCCGTCCCGTTAACGTACATGCAGTCTGGATCATATGAATAACCTGCAAACAAAGATAACAATTGTATTTTACAATCATCTTTTTTTTCTCGCTCCCATCTCATTTACATACATTAGCTATTGCCCTATTTTGTTATCTTTTTTTTTAAAATCTGAATTGATAGATTTGACTATAATTTTTTTTTTTAATAGCCGCTAATTTTTAAGTTTTGCTACTTTCTGTGTGACTTCCAAATTATAAAAATTATGCAATTTTCGTCAATTTTTAAAAAATACTCCACCATATTAGATCTATCATGTTGAATTTTTAAAAAGTGGCATCATATTCGTAATCAGCACCCCCAAAAATCCCTGAGCAAAAATTTTCAAACGTATCTAATATATTATTTAAAAATGAGTCCACTATATATTGGATCCACTATTTTGAATTTTTTATAACTGACTTCAAATTCGTGAAAAGCGACCCCAAAACTATAAGTACACACCTTTAGATTATATAAAAATCATCAATTTAATTTTGGCCAGCTAAATCGTTGAAATATTTTGGTTTTACCAACTAAAGTCTGATTAAGGGATCATCCATAAAGCATGTGATACTTTAGGGGGTAGAGGGAGGGTCAGCAAAATATCATATGGATGACCCCTAAGATAACCAAAATTTAATTTTAATTTAAGTAATCAATTTAAATTGATTACTTAATTGATTAGTTAAATTAAAATTTCAACAATTCGAAAAGTTACACTGAGAAAAAAGGGTTTGAGTTGGTATCAGTAGTAGTAAAAGTCAGTTTCAGTCAGACCGCCCAGTTTCTTCTAAATTTGTTACTAGTAGTTTAGATTGGTTTTGGTCAGACAACGACCAAAACCAAGATTACTGTAATTTTGATATTACTAGTAAAAGTCAGTCAAAGTCATAACCTTTCATTTTTTCTAAATTTAGCACTAGTACTAGAAGGTACAGTGAAAAAAAAATGTATATTTGATTCAAATAATAGGTTACTTAATTATTATCAAATAAATATTTATTTGTATTAAATAATTATTATTTAAGAGGTTTATTTAATTAAAATACAAATTATTTGGTTCAAGTAAATATTTATTTGATAATAGTAAAGAATTAACCTTTTTATTTGAATTAAATTTTTTTTCAGTGTACACTAAACGAACACTGAAAAACTTTTGGTTTAGCAACTTTCCCAAACGTAAAGTTTCTACATTCAGTTAACTTCACTCATATAAAAACACATGGCAAATATTAAGTATGAAGTTACTTGTATATAGAAATTTTTCGTTTGGGGCAGCTGCTGCACCAAAATTTTTTCAGTGAAGAAATAGAATAACTGCATTTATAAAGAAAGAGGAAAAAGTGAAAACAGAATTTTTTTTTTGAAATAAAATAGAATAACGTCTTTTGAAAGTGCAAAGGAAACATTATCAACGCATTAAAATCAAGAGAAAAGAAATAACTAATAATTCGGTGCAAATAAAACGATGTTTTCTTATTTAAAAACACATGCTATTATCATAATACAAGTATAACTGGTTATCATAAAATTGCATAATCTATAATTTCTGAAAAGACTTTCTATATAGTATTGGAATATAGAATTACGTGCTTTGGATTATTTAATAATAATTAATAGTAGGTAAATATGAGGGAATAAATCGAATGAAATTCATGTCCGACGAAGTAACTCTGATCTTTCTCTCTCCCTCTCTCTGGCGCACATCCATATAATTTGCGATGATCACTGCAATGGGATTTCTTCGAAGGACTCGTAGGTAACTCGTAGGACGTATAGAAAGATGCGGCGTTAGATATTTACGGACCACCTGAGAATCCATGTCTTCCTTTTCTCTGCGCCCCGTGTGCAATACACCGCACGGAAAACACGCAGAATCGGAATAACGGAGAGAGATAGTACAATCTTATGCCGCGACGAAAAAAGCGTGCTCTCGACTAATCGTCCTCGACGATCGATTTACGATAATTACTTTTCCATTATTAGCGCCATGTATACTCGTTATGTTCCCTTTGAAAGAGAGCGAGAGAGAGAGAGAGAGAGAAAAGTACCTTTTGCTTTACAAGAGAATGGTATATTCCAATGGATCCTCTTTCTGCATGAGTAACTTTAAGATAATGCATTTACGTAGAATTTTTTTTTTCCTTCTATTTCTTTTCATTTTCTAAGAGCTCCAATTAAGTACTGCGTAAATATATGAAGTTATCTCTATAATATTCATGGATCATTGCGCGTAATAAGTCGAAATTATTATTACTGTAATAAATCTTTACCTGCAGAGTAGAGAAGTCCAGCGAACGAGCCATTAAAGCCAATTCGGATCTTCATGTAATCGTCTTGACATTCCGCCTCGATATCTGAAAATTGTACACGCAAATAATTTAAAAATTATAATGTAATTTTTTTTTTTATACAAAAGGTACGATATAATATTTATCTTTTAATTAATTTCCAGATTAAATAATCAATTATTAATAATTAAAATAATTAAGACGGGTTAGAAAATAAAAATATGTCTTAAGACCAATAGAAGCATTTACCAGAAAATGATTTTTAAGATTTTAAGTGGTTTGGTATTATTTTGACACAAAATTTTTTGTAATAATTGTTATTGTAGAACCGGTACTAATATTTTTTTAGACAATCAATTCTGATACTATTTTTGAGTTCTTCACAAAATTTTAGCTCAAATATTTAACAAAAAAACCTACAGAGAACAAATACATGTGGAATCATAATAATTACACGAGCTTAATCTAAAAAATCTGAAAATCATACAAAAAAAATATTATTTACAGATAGGTATAAAGAACTGAAAGTGCTTTAAAACAGAACCTCATCTCATTTTCCGCGTAGCGCACAACTTGCTTTTTTTCACTTTGTAAAAGAAAAATCACAAATAATGTTCACATAATATTTCGATTCCAATGTAAAAAGGTCATTTCTGTGATTACAAACAAAAACCAATAGTTACTTTTGTATTTAACATTATAATTTTTCGTGAAAAGTGGTTTTTAAGGCTGAAAACGTCAAAATTTCACCTGTCCCACAGGATGTTTAAACAAAACAGTTAATATTTTTAGCAATGTGCACTAATAAATACAATTTCTGTTGCTATTTTAGTATTTTATATTGTAATGGAATTGAATAAAAAAAACGTTTCATTAAAAAAATAATTATATTTTCTTTTTTTTTTTGCTATTTATACTTGACTGCACTTTTGTGTGTTATTCTGCGTTTTATTATTAAATATTGAATTATTTATAAATAAATGTCAAATGTTAATATAGTTCTACTTTAGTAACAGCATAAGTTATATTCCTTAAGTTGATCAATAAAGAAAGTAATCAATTTTCTAATTGATTTATCCTTTTTTTTTACACATTTTAAGATTCAAATTTGTACAGGGCATCAATATTCAATATTATTTAAAAAAAATAGAATATAATTAAATAATAAAGGTTAAATAAAGTGTAGTTATATTATTTTAGTCTATATATATATATGTGAAACATATGAAACCGATTAAAAATAAATGATAATTTTCTCAAAAAAAAAAAAATTATTAACATCAGTTCCACCGGTTCGACCGACCCCAGCGTCTCCACCCGCCACAAAATTTCGACCGTCACTAGTCCAAGTTTAATACACAATGAAACAAACGAAATTCAAAATATTTATTATAAACTATCATAGCTCCGGTAAGTTTACTATAACTTAGCAAATAAATTTCTATAAATTATCGTATAAATTTCCATAAATTACCAAAATAAAATTTTTAATTGTCGTTCGCGCTATATATATATATATTTGTAAATTACCGCGAAAATTTTCATAAATTACCGAAATTAAAATTTTTAATTGCGATTTATGCTTTACATATTTTTATGAATTTTAGACAAAATTTCTATAAATTACCGCGAAAATTTCTGTAAATTACCGAAATAAAAATTTTTAATTGTCGTTCGCGCTATATATATTTCTGTGAATTACCCCAAAAATTCCCATAAACATTTTAAATAAAATTTTCACTATTTTATAGAATTCAAAAAGCAAAAAAATTTTTTTTTAAATTTGTTTAAAAAAATTAAAAAATTATAAAAAAATTTTCCGGCCCACTATGGATATTTATTTCTTGACACTTTATCTTCAAAAATATGTATTGATATTGATCATTTCGATAAAAAAATATTTTTAATGTTTCAGACACCAAATCGTGCGCTACGCGGAGAATCACCCATATATATATAACGATAACGAATAAAACAATAGATAAAAAAATACCAGAGCGAGAACAAAAATAAAAAAAATTTAAATCACTTAAAAATAAAACAAAAAAATTGGAAAAAACATGAAATAAAAAACGCAAAGATAAAAAACAAAAGTTTAATATAAAAGAATAAAAGATTTCATATCATTTATTATACAAAATTTCAAAACCTAATCGTAACAGGAAGGAAACTGATTCTTATAATAACACAATAGATTAATTAGTTTCGAGTAACATGGAAATGGTCAGATAAGATTGGTGTTGAAATTGTCGACAAATGGGGATGCGTTGAGTGGATGCAAACGGAAATTCACTCATCGATGACGCGAGTGAAAGTGGATGGATCTTATAGGCGCTCTTCGTAGTAAAGAACGTTTCCATGTGACGACGTAACGTTTCGTATATATATATATATATATTTATAGATACATATATAGAAAAGATGGAACGATAGTTACACTTGACGTAGTAGGACCGATGATACAACTGTTTGTACTACTCTCCTGATTTTAAACTCCAGCGTACTTATATTCTCGAGACTCTTAAAGAGGCTTTGGATATGTTTTTAAAGTACTCTACACTTATTTAGTATTATACTTCTCAATGCTTTGTGTTCATTGTCCGGCAAAACGACCGTGCATACACAATGAGATATGTTGCACAAGAAATATCTTTCTTTTTTTTTCTCGCAGCACTTTTCATTGATATCTTCGAAAAAATTTTCCATTTTCAATAGGAAATAAGGAATATTGTGTTAAAATTTTTAAATTTTCACTTTCTTTCTCCGTATACATTATTAAGAGCATTTAAAAGATTTTAAATTTTCTTATTTTCTCAAGAATAAAAAATTATTGAAAATTTTTTGCTTCTCTTATTTTTAAAAATGACTGTTCTCAAATTAGATATTATTAATTCATTAATCCAAAATCGAACCTTGCAGCTGAATTTTCTGTAACAAAGCCTTTTTTTAATTTCGTTCTGCATAAAATCAATACAGTCGTGACAGTAGTCTTACTTATAATAATAACTAGTTCGGTATTACCAAAAGTATATTTAATGTATCGAATCTGGGTAATAAAAACTCTTTATGTAATAGAATTGTATTTTTCTGGTTATATCCAACATTGGTTTTTCTCCGAATTCGGAAAAATAAAAATCGAAAGATCGCTTTTTCGTATATTGTTCTATTGAGAGAGTATTTCTATGATTCTTTTTATTATCACAATTTATGGGAATCTGAAGGAGAAATCACCCCTTAAAAGGGTGGAAAATGCAATTCAATTCCGAGAATTCGTCAACTCTCTTTGTGAAAATCCTGTATAAAAAGTTCACATTTGCCAGGAGAGATCAGTTTAAACAGGCAACGGGTTAAAAGAATTTTGTGATATAACATGCCGAATTTAAAACAGAACTTTTTAAAATAAAATTTTAAGAAACTGTATGTATATTTTGTTCTGTGACGTTCCGGTATGTCAAAATTTCACACTTTTCTTTTTGAAATTTGTCTTAGGATGAGGGATGCAGAATGTACTTATTTAAGATGTAATTATATTTTAATTATACGTATTGTTGTGTATGTAAGAATGATTTCCCCGTGTAAAAGAATGTTGTATGAATGAATATATTTTATTATTTCTGCTTATTTTATATTAATATCATTTTTACTCAATTTATTCTTTTATACAATTTTTACACATCTTTAGAATTTCAATATTTTAATTTATTATTCAAACATAAAGAACAAATGTTCGACAATCTGGTTATTGGGTTTTTCTGTTCACATTTTCAGGATACACGCAAAAATCTTTTTTTTTAATAAAAAAATACCATAAAGCTGTTTCAATAGAGAAAACGCCTAAACTAGAAAGAGTATTGGTACACATAAGGATCTTAATCCCTAAATTTTAAGATCTCAATAAATAAAACATTTAAAATGAACAAGTGTAATAAAGGATTTTGCATTCTCAGAAATGACAATTCCTTAAAAGTGTGCGAGTTAAGCCTTGCAATAAAATTACAATTAGACAAAAGAGCAAAGGGCTTAACTCCGCACATAGCGTAAACATTTGTTGGCCAAATGTTTTATTGCACCTCCACCTTAGCGTGTATCTGGTCCACGTGGACTCTAAGAGTTTTTAATACTAAATTTCTATTTTTAGGGCGTGATTTTTATGTTGTTTTCAGTAAATCAGAAACCTTAATTTTCTCCTTTTTCCAAAATTTTCCCTCCACCTTTAACGTTTTGCAAGTTTTCTTGAGAGTGGGAATGAACGACGCTGTTACCCGGAGCGTCGTCCAACTTCTTTTAATCAGTCTCTTTTCGGTCCCTGTTCGCGAAATTCGGAATTGGTTCCCTTTCTGAACCAATAATTCCTTGAGGTTCGATCTTAGGATTTTCAACGAGATTTGGACTGAAAACGCGCTCTCTTATCACTGTATAATTCCTATTTGTTAAAGGTTCGAACTTAAGATTTGTAGCATGTCCAAATCTCAGTGATTTCCTATAACCGTATAAATCCTCGGAATTAATATTTAGTTCAGGATAGGATCTAATCTCCGTTTTGTGAATATACCGTTTTACTTTAACTTTTATATTCATTGAAATTTTATCTTGTCAACTTGTATTCTTTTTAAACTTATTAATTTTATAATTTTACCCTTCTGGTTTATAGATTTTGTAGTTATCAATAAAATTCTTAATTGTTCTTATATGTGAATTTTGTGTATTAATGTGTTTCGTCGAGAAATCTCATTGTGTGCGTAAGTTTGGTAAATAAACAAACAATTTTTATTCAACCTAACCTATTTTCTCTTTCCTTCTATTTTATTATTTATTCCTCTAATAACAATAATAAAGTGAGTTTCAACTCTTTGTAAGTAACAAGATCTCACAAATTCTATTTTTTGTGACGAACTTTTAGTTATTCTTTTAACCTTTATTTCCATGCCGTGACGTAACAGTTCTAAATTCAAAACACATGAAAATTTGCAACTAAACGTAAATTTGCTCCGTATACCGTTAAGACATGAATTAAAACGGTGTCGGAAATCTGACACTGAAGTTTAGGTCATCAGCTGAATGGTGTATGGTGATTATCGTCATCATCATCTTCAAAATTGTCATCATCATCATCATCATCATCATGGTCGTCGACGTCGTTGTCAGGCTAACACACATGTTCGTATAAATATATAGTATGGAAGAGAGGTCAGAGTAAAGAAGGAAGATTAGAGGATCGTAGAATGAAAGGGGTCAGAGTGAAAAGGAGGGAGAAAAAGACGACGATAGGACGAAGGGGGTCAGAAACAAGGAAAAATGTCGGAGTATCAGGGGACCTCGCTACCATGAGTTCAGGTTCAATGAAGTCGTAAAGCTGCGGGAACTTAAGCCCACCCGTGGAATCGTCGATTATTGCATGAGGAAAGCCATTAAGTTTAATGTATCCTCTTTGCAGTCGACTACCGATTTCCATAAGTCCACGATGTAAGATATTCTTTACTCCGTTAGGCGTTGTTTTTTTTTCCCCTCTTGCTTACAAGTTATTCCTTAATTCACTTTTTCGAGTCCTCACGATATTTAAATTAAATTTGTTTCTATCTTTCAATGTTTATATATAGATCTAAAATTGTCATCAGCAAATATTACAATCTCTCGTTTATTTCTTCTAGTGCCTTTTAGCATATTTTGAGATCGTAATACAAAGTTTACACAATTTTTTATAAATTTCAATATGTGTCTTCTTTTATAATCATTTTCTGCTTCGTGGAATAAATTTCATCTTCTTCTTTCTAATCTTCACGTTCTCCTTTCAATTTTTTACGATTGGTCTTTAATTTTTTTCTTTCGACAATTTTATTTTCTTCACGTGTTTCTTTCTTTCCCATTTCTCTGCGTCTTCTTTTCCTCTTTCCCTTTTCTGCGCTTTTTCGCCTTGACTTTTTTTTGTGCAAGTGAGCCCTTCGATGAGTCATTATTAGAGCCAACCTCGGGCGGTAGGTAATGGTCTAAAGAAAGTAATTACCTACGTTAAATAATGTATGATGCACTTTCTTGTCCTCGCTATTGTATAGCCGGAGGAAATACTCAACAGAGTTATTGTACTGCAAGGTGGAAACATTAAACCTATTCAATTTGCTTAAATGCAAAAAAATTAATATCTCCTCTATTTTCCGGAGGAATGAATATTAGACACGGTTTTCTTATTGGTTATCTCTTTCACTCCTTCTCTCATGACTTTGTTCCATGAGAGCGAGGAAGATTCAACGTTTGCGCATCATATACTCAGAAAGGGTGTTTTGAAAATTTTTGTTTCTATAAAAATTTAACTAATAAAAATTAAGGGTATATGTTTTGCCCGAATAAAAGTAGGCTTAAAATTGTAAATATAACACAAAGCAAAACTCAAAAGTATACTTAACAGGTCAATTTTTGAAAGATAAAAATTCATTTGCTGAAATATTCTTATTTTATGTGTTCAATTTGTGAGCAAAGAAAACCAAAATTCATTTTTACGAGAATATCTATTCGCCTCTAAGCTTTCTAAATCCTGATAATTCCTTCAGCCAAGTGTTATTTATTCCTTTTATTGCAAATTAGTTTTTTTCCACTTGGTACAATGACGCTTTAAATCCTTTGGATCCTTTGTGTTCATCCTTATTCCGATTATTACTTTTGTTTTTTGTTTCATAATTTAGATCTTTAGTTTTGGAACCAAAAAAACTAGATTTTTTAAACTTTGAAATCAATTATAATAATAATTAAACACGAGGTGGTATTTTTCTATTCTTTACTACATATTTTTTATGTTTTTCTTCTTTTTCATTCTTAAAGAAAACGATTACTGACCAAGTAACTCTTTTTATTTTTTCTAGGTTGTATATAATATAAATCTTATTCTGTGCACATTATGTGTAAACACATACTCGGAAAATTAGATTCTATATACTTTGAAGCGGCAATTTATGCACTTCCTTGGGGAAGTGATGTTTATCTGTTTTTCATAAGGTGGTAATTTCACTTCTTTTTTGATTAGGATAAGAAAGAGAGACAGAGGGCGAGAACGACCAGAAGGTTTTTTGATAAAGAAAGTGGTGAATCCTACTGGCAGGATCTTTATGCAATTTTTTCAGAGTTTATTGACTGATTCAAGATTTATTTAAGTATATAGTTGCTGCTCCCTGCGCGCCTAAAGGTTTATTATTTTCATTTCTATATATATACATGTACACGTCAAATATGACCGGATGAAGAGATTTACGTGACTTGATAAATGATTTTTTTCAAGTTCAACACAAGAAGTATTGTTTTGATTTTAGAGAGGAATTCTGTATGTTCCATAGATTTTTTAATTGTTTTCTAATTACATTTATAATATTTATATTCTTTTAATTTTATTGCTTCTTAAAATTGTCAATATTGCCTGAAATTTATACTTGAGGCTAAATTTAAAAAAATAGATGAAGATAACTTAATTAAACTTTTATATGGATCATAACCTTTAACAATCTGCTTAACAACAAAAGAACAGATTCAAACAAAATTTCTCAAGAATTATTTATTTGTGACCCATTATTTTTGTTCAAAATTATTAACGGATTTGTTTATTGTCTATTGATATTATTCTGCATAAATTTTATTGTTTCTTCAAAAATTAGGCTGAATTTCGCAACGTTTCAAAAACAAAAAATTAAAATAGAATTATTTTTTCAAGTCAATTTATCTCTAATTTTGATTTGCATAAACTTTCAAGAAATTAATACTTTTGTAGAAGCCAGTTAACAATGAATAACATTAATTTTAAGCTAAAATAATACATATCGTCTCATTATTTTTTTGTTTTTGTTTTTAAAAACGTTGCGGACTTCAGCAGCATCTTCAAAAGGATTGAGGCATCAGAGATTGTTCAAAATATACAATTCAACAAATCTAACTTCTTGGACAATACTGTTTTAAATAAAATTTCTACTAAAGGTAATGAGTTCTGTCATAATTCGTTGCCATAGCAAACTTGTTTTATGTATACAAAATTCTTAAACATGCTAAACTTTCATTAAACAAAATCATCTTTCACAAATTCAAACAATCTGACAAAAACATTCACAACAAATATACCTAAAAATAAAGTTGATCTAGTATGTTTTGTTTAAAAAATTTCTGAAGAATCTTTGAAAATTGAAAAATATACTTTTCACATTAGCTACAAGACTTGTATCAATAAACCGAAGCTAAATATAGCTTCAAATAAATTGAGTTGTCAGAGAAGGAAAAATAGTTTTCTCGAGAGATGATTTGAAGATATTTAGCGAATAATTGCAATAAGAAGAGCTAAAGGACTATACATATAAGAGAGCAAGAATGTCTTCCGGCGGAGGTTTGTTGGGTTGGGGCAAAAGAGAAAAAAATAATAAAATAAAACAAAAAGAAGGATTGGAATTTAAGTTGGAGATTACTAATTAAATCGTGTTGTCTCTGCACGTTTCCTTCTTACTGTAATGCTTTTGCAATATAGCTATATATGCTCTATCAGGTTAATTCCACTGGATTAGAATCGAGAAGTAAAATGAAAGAAGAAAACTCACGTTGCACTCTTGTGGTATTAGGCCTATATCTTCTGTGTTCGCGATCCCAAGATTCCGGATGTCTTCTCCATTCCTCGTCGGATGCTAGTCCTGTTCCTCCGACGCCACCACCTGCGAGACCCTGGAGACCTTGTAGTGTTTGAAGAGCCTGTAAATTGGGGCTCAAAGGTCTACTCTTCAATGAAGGCACTGGAACGTATGCCGCGCCTTCACCAACATACACCACCTGTAAATAAACAACAACTCACTTATTACATGAACAACATAATAACATAACTCTTCAACCCAAAACTGATGGTCAAATTTTATTATGTTCAACCATTTGTTAAAATTGAATTAATAGAAAACTACTCATCAGTAGTCAAAGCATGCAGTTGAATGCTGACTTTCTTTATTTTCAAGACTGGTTGCTGCAGGATGCTCTCTCTCAAATATCAATTTTATAACTCTAAATATTTGTCTAAATAAACTTGTAATCTTAACATTATAAAATTTGGTATCTATATGATTTTGAGGTTTCTGATTACAAAATTAAAGTCAGATTTTCAAAATCCATATAATGGCAGATCCAATATGGTGAAAAAATGTTAAATAATTGTTTGATTTCAAAAATCTTGCTTTAAATTCGTAATCAGCTGCCTCAAAAACCTCTACAGATACCAAATTTTCTAAAAATTCAACTGCCATATTGGATTTGACATTTCAGATGAATCTCAAATATTATCTCTTTGGGTGAAAATTTCCAAACTGGGCCACCTAAAACTGACTTTTAAATTTTTTTTTCATAATCTATTGCAGAAAGCCGAATTAAAAACATTCCTGAAATGCATTTTTAAAAAAATTAATTTTTTAATTATTTATTAACAATTGAATATTTTGTTACCTTTCCACTAAATTTGCAATTACTCTGTTGCTTGTTAATGAAATTTAATAAAATTTAGTGAGTATATAGAAAAATTATGTCTCTTTGAAATGCAATAGAAATTTCAATTAACCTTTATTGTTAATGCAAAAAAAATTGTTTATTTAATAAACAAATGAATATTTAAACTATTTCTCATATGTTTAGAAAAAAAATTTAAAAACGACATAAATCTACACTTTCTCAACTTTAATTTAAAAAAAAATCTTAGTACATTTAAAAAATGAGTGAATTACGCGAATTTGAAGAGCGACGTGCAAGCGCTGAAACAAACCTCGCGTCGCCCTAATAGAAATTTGTCATGGAAGCACTAGAAATACTCTAGTTACTGGCCAGTTTTTCTCGTGGACGCTGATTCTAGACAAACTAGACAATTACTGTAAAGTTACTTGACCAACAGTCTTAGAAAACATTCAAGTTGAACTTAAAATTGGCTAGATTCAACTTTTGTCCAGTTGCTTGAATGGCACTGTCTAATGTCTCTAGAAATTATACTTTCGTCTTCTTTCGTAGCAGCAGCGCTGCAGTACATGTCTAATAACTAGACAAAGAAGTGCTAGAATTCTGTGTTTCATTATTTTCTTAAGGAGGTTCGGGGGATCATTTGAGGGGCAGGCAGGGAAGAGGAAGTACCAATGCTTCAGCATACGAATTTTAATTTCATACCAACATAATATCGTTAATGAAAATATGCATTTACTTTTATTCTATTGTATGAAACACACCTAATTTAATTTATTTAATTATATTTTAATATATTCTTGCATATAAATGTGTATAATTGTGAATTTATCGTTAAAATAATTTAAAAGAAATATAACATTTGGCTGCAGTTGACTTAGAAACGCTGCATTTATTGTGTAGTGTTGGCTAACATGAGTAAAACTTTCGTTGTCTATTTTCATCTCAGTCCGTCGTAGGTTATCTCATTTCCTTTCTCGCTTACTCTGTCAGTGTATTTGCTGACAACTTCACATAGTATGCGCGTGTGTTGTCAAATGTCAATTGACAAACCTAACCCCAAATAAAATGCAAACATGGAAAGTGTTCTAAGGTATAAAGGCAGATTTATTAATAAAAAACAATTAGATAGGCGTGTTAAACAATTTTCTTTTTCAATTTAACACATTTTGTTTTTTATTACATTACATTTCGTATTTCAAATTATAAAATTACTTTAAACCATAGAATTGTTATTGCAAAAAATATATCTATTTATTAAATATAATTAATTTTTTTTCAATTAAATTAATAATTAATAATTATGATTATCATAATCATAGCATTAAATTTTTTTAAATTAATTATCAAGATAAAAATTAATTGAAATAGCTAACATTGATCATTTTAATATCCATTAAGATTTGTTATTTATTTTTTTGTAATCGATTGTTAATAACTAAATTTATAAATTTTTGTAAAAAAATAAACCATTTTTTAACATTTTTTAAAATTTAATATATTAAGTTAAAATTGTTTTTTTTCATAAAAACGTTTAAAATAAAAGTTTCTATTTTATTGTATTTTTGAATTCTCGCGGGTAAAGTCAACGCGTTGATCACATTACAGTGTTGCCGTCGTTTCAATGCCCCTGTCCGAAATACTGCTTGAATGCATGATTTCTAATTGATTTTTATTAATTATCTTTAAAACTATGCGGTGAAAATACAATATTATTAAATGTTTACAATCAGAAATGTTTCCGCTATTCAATTCAAAGTTTTTTTAAACAGTGTAACCTTTTTTTATGCACTTTTATTGATATTTTGTCTCACCTTAGAACACTATCCCATAAGAGCCTATGTATAAAATGTGAACTTTGACTTCAATTTTCTCAAAAAGTATACGGTAAATCATTTTCATACTTGGTGGAAAATTGAATGGCATCCCAGACATTAGGAAAAAAAATATTTCAAACTTTTTTAACCTTTTTCAAAATACCCCCGAACCTCCTTAAATAATAAAATTGTAATTAATTCAGGTAAATATAAATTAACATAATTTATTATTTTAATATAATAAATAAATAAAATCTATATTCACATATTTTCTGAATATATTAGTATTTGAAGTTTTATAATATTTATTATGTTTTTCTTTTTTATAAATGAAATTATTCTATTATCTATTATTGGCATTTTATTTATTGTTCCATTTATATGGGCAAATCTAAAAAACAGGTAACTTTCGTGTGACTTGGGCTTATTTTTAATGGTACACCTTATATTAACCCAGTTGCTTGTGAATTACATATATTTACTGATACTTGAATGATACGAAACAGTTTTTAAGTGATTTAGTAAATAACTTAAATGTTATACGAATGTAAATGCCAGAAAACAACAAAAAATTAAAAATTTGTGTGTGACTTATCAGATATGTAAAATGAAATGTAGGATAACTTTTGAAGCACTCCATATAAATATTTGAAATTTTACATGATATTTGTATTTATAATAACATTTCAATTATACTATGTAAGTAAGTTGTGCAGTCAAAAATATCAAAATGATAAGGAATCGAAAAGATGTGACTTTACTTTCCATTATTTTGAAAAGTTTCAGCTTTTCGCTTGTAGTTTTTGAAGCACTTATTTAAAAAACATTTCGAAGTATGCATTGAATTCTTCAAATAATTACGAATAAATCGGTACATTAACAAAAGTTGTGCTTTTAAAATAAACTTACATTTAAAGGTAAAATAATCTGCTACATACAGCGTAAACCTTTTTCACAAACGTCAAAAATCAAGAAAACACAATGTCTGCAGGTAATTTAATTCTCATTTTTATATTTAAAAAAAATGTGAGTTTTCCTACAGTAGCATTTGCTGATAACGTGTATTCATTCACAATTTCTGTAGATCCCAAAATACTCAAACGCGATAAAATGAGAGAAAAAAGAAAAGAACAAGCTTTGAAAAATGAAAAAGAACGTTTGAGGAAATTAGAATACAATACTAAAAATAATCCACTGCGTCCATCTACGAAGTTATCAAAAATAATTACGATTGATTCTCAAGAAAATTCTTTAAAAACTCGACTGCGTAAAAATCCATCTAACCCCTCAATGAATTTAATTAATTCAAATGCTCCTACAAGTCAAGTCGAAATTGAGGACAGTTTCAGCGAGTACCATTCTAACAATGAAAATGTGTTATGCGAAGTATCAACTCAACCAACAGCATCAATTTTTTCGGATAATTTAAATCAATCTGAAAACTGTGATAACAATGATTTAAGCAATGTTCCTTCCACATCAAATCAACCAGCAACGTTAATTGTCCCACAATCGAAAAAATTAAGTAAGTGCAATTCAGAAAAAATAAACTACGGATCCTTTACAGTTTTTTGCTCTATTATTTTATGACGGGTTCGCGATGCTTTAAAATTTATTCAAACACGTAGTTTTAATTGTATTTTATTTTTCAGGAATAATTTAATATTATTATTTATATTTATTTTTATTACCTACTAATACTACTATTTCTTAATCAATATTAATTTTTTCTAAATCTTACGCATTTTTTACGATTGTAGGGGAATCGAGTCTTTCGGATGCTTCCACAGATCAATCTAAGAACTCGCATGATTCGAAAAGTAAAGATAAGCGTTACATACGTACTTTGTTAGCACGACAGCAAAGGTTGTACGCACGTATTCGACAATTAAAAGCGACAGTTGAAGGAAAAAATAAAATTATTCATAAATGGACCGTTCGATGTTCAAGAATGCAAAAAAGACTGGCTGATCAAAGTAATCCAAAAAGTAAAGTATTGAACGCAGTTGAGACGATTGAAAAACAAGGTCCTGCAGCTGTTAGAGAACGCCTTTTGTACTGTGAAGTTCTTGATCAACAATTGCAAGAACGAAAAAAAAATATGACTGAAGAAAAAGATCGGATTGCTTTTAAAAAAATGCTGTCTGGTCCTACTGTGAAAGAAAATAAAAGTATGAAAAAATTATCTCATTTAGTGAGTCTACGTTCTCAAAGAAAATATATGAATTGTAAAGTACTTAATGGTAAAAGATCGTGTGCCAAGGCTGAGGAAAGAAAATCAGAAATTTCCAAAATAATCAGAGCCTTTTTTGAATCGGATGAGAATTCTTCAATCGCTCCAGGTGTCAAAGATACAATAACTCGTCATAACATCAAAAAGAGAAAACGATATTTGTGCGATACTGTTAATAATTTGTTCGTAAAATTCAAAAAACAGCATCCAACAATAAAGATTTCTCGTGCTGCATTTTATAAGTATAAACCATTTTGGTTAGTACATCGGTCGATCAATGGACGAGATACCTG